TCAATGTAAACAAATATACAGGCCCTAGGTGAAGATATCCTATGCAGAATCAAGTTTTAATAGGAATTTATGAAGTTTAAAATAAAAAAATATTTTTTCAAGCTGTTTTATATTGATAAAGAAAAAGGTATAAATAGAAGATAATTTTTATGATTTATTGAACTGGATTTAGAAAAAATTATATCATTTAAACACAGGTTAAAAAAAACTTCTTCTCTAGGAAGGAACTTTTATTTAGAATCTCATTATTAAGTAATGAGTATTACTCTGTGTGAGTGATTTTTTTAACCACTTTGTTTCAGGGTCCAGCTTAGACAAGAAATTATGAATGTCTATCATCTGCAATATTTGCAATTTCAGAATCATCTACTGATACCACCAGCAGTACTGCAACTAAACATACCTCAGGCAGTGAATTACCTGCATCTAAAAAGAGACTTTGTTCATTAGCAAGTAAAGCTATGGATGAATCCATAATCAGGACCAGCAAAAGGTCAGGAAACAACACAGAGTTAAAGACTAGTTCAGTTCATTTATGCAACAAGTTCTCCTTTTTGTCTTGTTCAGAACAATCATTTCACTGACACAGTGCAATCATTAGGACCAGGTTACACTCCACACAGCAGAAGAGATATTGCTGGAAGGCTTCTGAATACAGCATATAAGGAGGAAACTGAATAGTGTGCAAAAAACATTGAATGGAAAAGTGCTAACCTGAGTCTTGATGGATGGAGCAATGTACACAATGATCCAATAATATGTGCTTATATAACAATTCTGTGAATTGTTTCTCTCACAGAAACAACTGTGACATCAGGAACTGCCCACACTGCAGAGTATTTCAAAGAAGTAGCAGTCAAAACTGTGAGCAAAAATTCAAGTGTTGTGTGCAGAGACTCATCACAAATAATGCTGCAAATGTAGCAGAGATGAGAAGAAATTTAGAAGAAGATAACAAAGCAAGCCTGAAACTTATAATGTATGGGTGCAGTGCTTATTTGATGCGTCTTTTAGTCAAAGATGTCAGTACTCTAGGAATAAATTAAAATATTGTTGAAACTGCAAAATACTTCCATAACAACCAGTTCACCTTGGCTTCACTGAAGAAAACTGGGGAATCCAAACCAATTCTCTCCCAAGATGTACAATGGAATTCAGTGGCTGACTGCACTCTGGGCTATTTATTAAGAACTGGCCTATTCTGATGACCATCCGTGAAGAATATCACGACTAAACTGATGGGAGTATCACTGCTAGTGTAGTTGGCACTGGACTAAAGAGAAATGTAGAAGATATGCTGCATACACTAAAATCTACTTCCACAGCCTTGGCCAAACCAAAAAACAATTGCTGCTATACTGTGGCTATACTGCTGTTGAAATTTGGAAAGAACTTCAAGAAACATTAAAGCAAGAAATACTAAACAGCACAGTTAAGATGCAGGCAGTAAAGAAATGAATGGATCAAGTAATTATTTCACTTAATTGTCTTGCCAATATTTTTAACACAAAGGGTTAAGAATGCCTAACTGCCAAAGAGGAAAATGCTCCAATGAGACTTGCATCTACTAATCCCCCATGAGTCGTGCCAACCATAATAAATTTCAGGGCTAGAGGTGAACCATTCAAGCAGTACATTTGATGACGATGGTTTAAAGAAAGCACACCATGGTGGAAGTCACTAGCAAAGCACCCTGAACTAGAGTTTGTTGAAATACTAAATCAGCTTTTACTTACTGCAAGCAGTAGCATCTTTTGCAGGTGCAGAAAGAATATATTCTTCATTTGGAGGGGTTCATTAAAAGCTGAGAATTTGATTGGGAGTCAATAAATAAAAAGGAAGAGGAGGATGAGATAAATGAGTGCTAAAAACTCGAAAGAAAGGGGGTAAAATTTTTCAAAACAGCCTAGGCCAAAAAAAAGACCATCTCATTTTAAAAGAGAATTAAGCAGGTAGGAATTGATCTCAACTGATTTTCACCTAGGCATTTTAGAAAATTTTCCCCAGGGTGACGTGAAATAATTCATTTAATTCACTAACTACAGTTCATACTTTTACATACTATAACATTGATACCAACATTTACTTAATTAGTTGTAAATGTGCACATTTTGATAAAATAAATTCTGTATCCAAACCATTAAAGTTAAGTTGAATAAATATGAAGTGCTGGTTTTGTGGGCTGAATTAAATTTAAGCTGCCATCTTAAAATAGCTTGATACAAATGTGAGAGAGAAGTTAATTATCTAGTGAATAAGAAATGCATTTCACCATTTTATAGCATACTAAAATACAGTATGTCTAACAATCCAAAAATGTTAAGCCATATACATATAGTTTGTGTACCCAGGACATATGTACTAAATCTATTGTAAAAACTGTATTTAGTTGTAAATCAATACATTTTATTTGTTAGATAAACCAATAAAAATACACCTTTCTTTGTACAACAAACAAATGCAATGGATAAGTGTATTTAAATCAAGCTTCTGGCTTGCTGTTTTAAACCAGTTATTTAAATCAACTTGATTTAAAATCATTCCAAACTGAGTATGACTGATAGCAGCACCTCTTATCCCATGGAAGAGAAGAAAAAAAATGAGTCTGAACCTGGAAGTGTAATTTAACTCAAGCTTTTGAACCCTGTTAGAAAAGCAGACAGCAAAATACTGGTACATTAAACTCTAAGAACCCCAAAAGGATAGATTAAAAGACATCAGTAAGACAAAGATGAAAGGTCCCATGACTGATGACTCAAACTCATGCTAAGCTTGGATTTACTCACAAAAGTTAAAATACAAAATAATAATACTAACTGCATAATGCAAGAGGATGCGAGTTCATGGGTAGGCCATCTAAGAAGGAATAATGAAGCATCTCTTCCAGCTTATCTTGCTATATTCAGGATGATTTCAGGCAGACTCTTAGTTGTCTGATGTGTAACCATATGAAATGTCTATCCTTGATTAATTAGTATGGTAAATATTTCATTTGAGACTAACTTGTATTTATGTGCAGGAAAAGACATTTTCCATATGTGATAGATGTCTCCTCCTGATTTAGTATGTTTTTCGTGGCTGTTAATCAGTTTCTTGATATGTTCCAAACTGGATAACCTCTTGTTACTGAAGAAGGTAACTCATTCAAATTAGAAATTGCTGATAACCAGTGATGAGCAGGTTTTTCCTGTCAATTACTGTTTGGAACTCTCGATTTACACAACTAAAAGAATGCTTTGAAGATGCCAAACTAAGGGTATAAAAAGGCAGTAAAAACAGCAAACAGCGTGCACGCTTCAGGAGTGAGAAATCTCTCTGACTCCAGTTGCTGATGCACCCAACTTACTCGAGAAGTTGAAGAAAAACAGACTGCCTCTGTCACCTGTTTGGTGAGAAATCATTGCCTTATAGCTAATTACTGGACTTAAAATTTGGTTTGGGCTCACTTGACTTTATTTTAAATACTTGTAGTAAATAAAGCCTTTTTGTCACTCATCGAACGAGATGTCGTGTCAATCCCTGGGCTAGTCCGGAATCCTAGATTTTTATTTGCTAACATGACTCTTGCCTCTGAAGATGATGGAGAAGCTCAAAAAGCTTTATTTCATGACCAGTTCTATACTAACATCAAGGGAATTTTGGATGGTGCTTGGAAAAACAGAAGGATTATTTCTTCCCTATCTCCCCACCACTGAGAATACTTATCACTCCAGAATATATAAAAGTCACTGAACCCTGCTTTACATCCCAGCACCAGCAAAAGGAGCAAGTCAGGTAAGTCACAAGGTAGGTGACAAAACACAGAACACATCATCTTTGGGATTTTGCACCAGTGCAGAGAGGAAAGTGTATACAAGTTGAACAAAGGCCAAACCATGCATCCTTGAGACAAAGCACCTTCCTGACCAGTTCTCAGGAGAGCACGGCAATGTGCTAAACCCTACTGTCAAGTTGGTGGCTAAGTGACAATCTAGCTGAAAAGGTGGAAGTTATAAAGAGATGATGTGATCAAATTTGGATAAAAACATCTCCCAAATAAACAAAGGCTGAGGTCACTCAACTGAATGCACAATTGCCAATCCATTTTCAAATATGTCAGCTAGAGTCTGCTGGGAACATCCTCTCTTCAGAGGAGCAGCTTCTAAAGTAGGCATTTAAAAATATGGCAGAGAACAGTAACATTTTAAGACTGCTGTGTGAACAGCACCTACCTGTTTTAATCTAAATCCAATCACAAGAGAAACCAAAGAATAAACTGAGCAATCATTAATTTTGCACCATCTTCTGAAGATCGTTTATCCTGGTTAGAAAAATCCTATTTATTTGCACACCTAGAGCAGAAAACCCAAGCAAGGTTTAAAAATCAAAACAGATCCTGTAGAAGTTTATATGCACAGTGCAAATAAGGTTTTGCAACAAAACTTTAGCAACCCAAACTGAAAGTCAACCAATCTCTTTAAGTCCCAGAACACCAACAAAGGGACAGGGAGAGAACGGAAAAAGACCAGAAAAGAAATCTTGACAACTTTCTCAAATACTACCTTTTTATAGTAAGCAACAAAACTTAAAATTATTTCTACTTGCTATAAGCACTACATATATGGACCAAAGCTTGCAATACAAAAAACCCCCCAAAACTTCTGATGGTCAACTGCAGTGACTACTGAATACTGACTGGATGCTTTCACAAAGGCTATAGCAACAAAGTGATATTCCTTTATAAGTACAAAGTGATCAGGCTGGACGTTCCATACTGAAATTTGCTGTAATTTTATGCATGGCTGTAACCTATTTAAACATTAAGGAATTAGAAGATTTTTCAAAAACTGCAATCTATACTTGGACATAGTCATGAAGTATTTTCAGTAAGTTTCAGTACATAACATTTCAGACAGGCATTAGCTGTCAGACAAAAGAACACCTTACCTCAAAAAAGAATCTGTAAATGTACATCCCTTCATGCCATCTGTTTATTAAAATACCACAGGATGACTAGAAGGTGAAGGCAACAGCTTTATTTGTAAAACAAAATCACTGTATTATACAAACATTAATTGTTAACACAGTCCAACATCAAAAGGTATAAGAACAACTGCGGGGCTTGCCAGAGTGTAGGCATTTCCTTCTAGTCTTGAGTGTGGAGTACCAAACGCTTCCTTTAAATCCTAATAGTGCTAAATCCTCAAGATGTAAGTATTGGGCACAATGTTTTACTGTATGAAACAAATGAAGCTCAATTCCTCTTTAGGTTCTCATTGCCTTGTACAGGTGAGAATCCTTCAAAAGTATTTACAAAGAGCGATTAAACAGTCTTCTCCAGCTGCAATAAAACTAACTAAGATATATGCTATATGGAGATCCATATACCCTATTCTACTGCTGTTGCCTTGAAGTCCAGTATCCAGATTTTGGTGTTTTCGATTAAATTGCAGCTCCCCTGGCCTCTTTTAAAAGTTCAACAGGCTATGAATCTTTGTAGTTCAAAGCCACAATGGAAAAATCAACAATATTTTGCTATAGCTTTTTTGCTGAAATTTCCATGCGTCCTTTTGCAGGCAATCCTCAGCATAACTACACCTTCATGGATGGAAACAATTAAAACAGAGGTAAGAAAGAGGAATTCAGATTAAAACACTTCCTCTCTCAAACCCTGCAGAAAGGGCCTTCCCAAAGGTACATTCTGCATAAAGCAGAATGCTGATATTTGTCCTTATTTTAGAACTAAAAGTGATGGACACCTGAGGTCTACTGACCAAAACTACTACCCATACAGGTTAATGAGTGTTGTCTTATACTTGCCTAGATGAAAACTGAGCCAGGAGGGATGCCAGAAAGATTCTTGAAATACTATTTAAAATTTGCTTGATAAAATCCAGGTTTTCAAAAACATAATATACAGAAAAGTGTGCACACTAAAATGACATTCCAGTGTACTTTGATTATTACGGTACAGCAGTTACACTGAGATAAGATTAAGTTGTAGTGCTTGCTAAGTGGCAATACGTAGAAATATATGTTTGAAATGTAGTAAGTATGAACCAGGGCTGAAGCTTTTCCCCTGGAAACAGGAGAATAAATATACTCCAGCAACTGTCAGAAGAAAAATTTTGCAGTTTTATTTTGCTGTGCGATTGCTACATTTGAGAGACACTGTCAAGCAGTTTATAGAAGTGTCAAGGTAGGTAAAAACCTAAGTTTCAAGTGAAATCAGGTGGGAAGTTATATCTTTTATTTTTTAAAAGGACAAAAGTATAGAAAAAAAGTTTTTAAAGTTCCAATTTCGAAGAAACCAAATAAAAGTCCTGAATGTCTCATACTGTTCTATAGCATCACACATTACTTCCAGAACTATTTTGCAAATATCAATGGTACAGGGTTAACCACAAAATTGTTAATGCTATGCTCTGTAAAAAAACAAAGAGGAAAAAGGACAACACTCCTAAGGAAAGAATCTCTTTCTGAGCATCTGTAAAAATACAAAAATACCGTTAAAATTTTAAAAATATCTGGTTATTTAAAAAGGTGACTCTCTTTAAAAGTTTATACCTTCACAATAAAAATATTGAACTGTACAGTAACTTTTACATGAACAGTTTAAGTGCTTTATAAATAAACCTCATCACACCCACCCAAGAAGTTGTATCTCATTTAATAGAGCTAACTTCTCTTTGCTTCTATCTATTCACATAAGTGACTTATTTCCATAATAAATCAATAGCAAAGCTCGGAACAGAAGCTAAAAATCTCAACTCACAGCATCCTCTCTCCCACACCAACCCTGATTCCCTTTCAGTTTTATATATTACTTAAGATGCCTGCTACAATAGCAAATACTAATTCTATTTCTATCTTTGTGCTCAGTATTAGTGTTCTCTCTAGTAATTAAATACTTAAAGTTATTCTTATTTTGTCAGATCGCAAAGCCACTTACTACAGTGTGGTTTCACACAAAAATATAGGATATGAAAAATAAGGCATTAAAACTATTTGCCAGTGTCTCTTTCAACAAACTGCATATGTCAATCAAGCAAGGCTGCAGGACAACAAGGCTTACTGTCTGGGAATGACATCTCACTGTAAGGCTGGGAAGAAAAAGTTCCACTAGATGAGCCATAAAAAATATAATAGCTCTTCAAAATGTATTCACCAACCAACACTGCTGCCTCATAAGGAAGATAGTACCTCCAATCCCTGCCAAAATATTCCTTTATATCCTGAATATCCCTTGCCCCTGGCAAGCTTCCTACTTGTCAAACAGTAATGTCATTCTACCTCCAAAGTTAAATCACAGTCAAATCAAGTTCTCCAGAACACTCAGTAAATCCAGGTTGAAGACATCAGTACCACTTTCAGATAAGAGGACACCATTTAGATGGAATAAACCTGGAGACTCTGGCACAAGGGAATCGTGTCTGATCACAAATCCTCCAATTGACTTCATAAAGTTGCTAATTTGACTATTGACTTTTTTCCGGTTCTCATCCACGAGTTTACAGGCCTCATCTTGGTTCCACCAGGCTTTTCGAGGCACAATGGTTGACCAGACCAAAATGACATTCTTGAACACGTGCCTGATAAATCCTAAATCCTTCTTTATTCTGATTATAAGATTCATAAGTTTTGTTGTTCCCAGGTCATTTCCTCCTAGGTGTATCACCAGTATCTCAGGATCTGGCAGATGTCGTCGGGCATGCAACAGCATGGGTATTAACTGATCCCACATCATTCCCCTCTTTCCTATCCAGTGCAATTTGGCATCCTCCACTCGAATACCCAGCTGCGGACCAAAGCTTCTTGAGAGTGCCCGTTTTTCTGCCCATAAAACATATGAATGACCACAAATCCATACCTGCTTCTGCTTTCTTCTAGTATCTGCTATTAAAAGAACACAAAGAAATGTTAATGCTTTAGTCTGGTCTCAACCTTTATAAATAATTGGTGGCCTAAATGTTCCTAAATATGGTCCACTCGCAACTACACATGCAGCAATCTGGGAGAAAAATTTATTCCAATATCTGTTTAGATAAATGTGTGCCATCTACATGTATCACAAGAAAAAATATGCTTCTTCAGAGGCCTTTTCAGGTACATGGTGCTTGCACTGCATATTAAGTTTATGGAAGGCAACCAAGTTCATGACCTTTTGAACTGATCTCACAACGACAAATATACATTCTCCATCAAGTACAGGGCTGAAGGTCCTGAGATGCACAAGATCTTGACAGACCCTGATAACCTGACAGACTCACCAACCCCCCACAATATTCTCCACCTCAAACCAGAAAAATAAATATTATTTCAGGAATACTCTTTTAAACCAAACAGAAAACACAACAACAAGCATGTAGTTTGCTTTTCCAGATAAGTATCTTTTTTTTGCATAGCTTGACCTGTGTTGCTAGTCTCCAACACTAATGTTAGGTCCTAGCAGTGACTCAGCTTTGCAAAGAAGAGCTGAAAAGATCATCTTACAAAGCAGTAAAGCCAGCCCCCTAGTTTTCGTGAGAGATGCTGCTCAGAAGCTTCAGTACAAAAGGAAAAGACTGAAAAGACTGTGCTTTAATCTCATGAAAATTTTATGTATCCCATCTTTAGCCCTCCCCCATCTTCATTTATTTGGTTGGTGGACTGTATTACCTTCAGTATCATCATCATCATCCCTTAGCTTCTGATTCTCCTGGTAATCAAATCGAACACTCTTGTTACTGACAATGCAATCTCGCATTTAGAGTTGTAAATGCCAGAGCCACTTTGGAAGCCAGCAGTGCTCCAGCAACGATGAAGACTGGCATATGGTGTCTTGGAAAAAAGATGTCCATTGAGCCCTCTACTGACATGAAACATGCCCTCCAGAATGGCACTGGTGATTCCCACAGTCTCACCATTCACCCTAATTCGCACAGTTCCCAAATAAAGTGAAAGCACAAAAGTTGTTGCAGTGCAAAACAAATGTATACCTTCTCACAAAAGAGCAAAGTCAACTGCTTAAACTGAGTTGAGCTGGCATCAGAGATGTGGGATGGAAAGTTTTCCAGTGCTTTATTTTTCCATGGGAAATTTTCCATTTCTAAAAATTCATTGTTTCATAAAATTCATTAGAAACAATGAATGGATGTCAGTACAATATTAGGGAAGCTTGGCAGTTTCAAAGTTGTAATTAATGTTTTTCAGGTGATTATCCCTAAGAAGTGTGAGAGAGAGTCCATAAATGTTTTACTGATTTGTAAACAGGAGGGCAAATACATTCTCATAAAAATCCAAACCAAAGATCAAGTTATGAATTCACCTAATTGGCTGTGCAGGCCAAATCAAACCAAAGCTAAAATTCTTATTTCATCTCAGACTGCAAGTGAAAGCAAAACCAAAACTAAAACTGTGATTAATTTCTGTTTCACTTTCAGTTCAGCAAAAAAACAGAGCAGTGTCTCATTTCTTTTCTTGAGTTGGGGAAGTTGGAAGTGTTTGCATAAGATCTGTTAGTATTTTAGTGTTTTTGCTTTGAAATAGTCAGAATAATGCCTGATCAGAAAAAAAACCCTAGTGTGTGGCATCATTATAGTGAAGTTCAAGCCACTGAAGGAAGGAAGAAAGTTGGTAGATGTAAATATTGTGGGCAGGAGTATGCTAACAATGCAACAAGAATGAAGAAACATTTAATAACATGTCGAAACTGTCCTGAAAGAGCACAAGCCATATACAGAAAGCTACTACAACCAAGTAGTGGAACAACATTATCTGAGAAAAGTCTACTTCAGGAATCCTATGTAAGTAAACAAATTAATATGTTAAACAACACAGTACAGAAATAGCACCTATATTGTTTTAAAACATTATAACTTTAAAACTTGTTAATGCAACTCTGGACTATTATTTATTTATTTAAAATATTTGTATCCTGCTTTTCTGCTGGCACTAAGCATCAAAATGGCTTAGGCTTAACAATTTTTTTTTTAATTACATAATAGATAAATAGTTAACTATCTCAACCCGGCAGAGTGAGTTTAGTCCTCTGGTGGATGGCAGAGGCCAGACTATGCTTCCCTTTGGCTCTGCAATCCCAGGGCAACTGAGCAGCAAATTAAGCAGCAGTGTTCTTTCTGGTAGGGAGGGGGGGAAGCAAGCACCTTGCCGCTTCTCCTTCTTCTGATGGATGAGGCCAGACTAGAATAGGCTAAAATTAAAATATTTTCCCCCTTTTATTGCAAGAACCTGGTAGCTCAAGTGAAATAGCAGATTTGTAAAAAAAAAATGGAAATTAAAAATGTTGAACTGCCTGGTCTGAGAAAAGAAACAGTAGGATCCACGTGGAAAGAAGCAGCAGGATCCAAGCTTTCAAGATCACTGTCACCAGATATGTGATCCACCAAGAGTGGCTGTTCAAGACAGTTAAGCTTTTTATTAAGCTTTGTGGACAAAATGTCAAAAGAAGATCAAGAAAAAGCAGAGGAGAAAAAGCTTGAGCAATATTTGCAAGTGGTACACCTCTTTCCATAGCTGAAAATCAATACTGGAAGAAAGATTACAAACTAATTCTCCCATCATATAAGCTACTGTCAAGTTATCGCTTATCGCATTCTCTCTTAGATAGAGAGTATGACAGAATTCAAACAATGGTTATTCAAAGGATTGGTCAAGCAGAATCATTGACTCCGATGTCAGATGGATGGAAATCCTTTATTAAACATTATGTTAGCAACACCTCCTCGTCATACAGGTAAATACATAGCCAAATTAATGAGTGAAGAGATTGAAAGTGCAGGTCCCTCCAGGATACAAGCCCTTGTAACTGCTAATGTGAGTAACATGAAACTGCATGGCAAATATTAAAGGCAAAGTATCTTCGTTTAATAGTATGTGGCTGTCTTGCTCATGGGTTGAATCTTCTGGCAAAGGACATAGTAAGAGTGAATACAATGAAGATGATATTGGCAAACTGCAAAGCGATTATGAAGGTATTCAACGATCATCATGTTGCTAATCAGACTTTGAAGAAATTACAGAAAGAGAAGCAGAAGGAAAGTGCACTTTTACTGCCAGGAGAAACTAGATGGGGCTTGGCTACAAAATGTTTACGTAGTTTGCTGCACACAAAGAGCTGTTTGCAGTGTACTTCAACAGATGACACAGTATCCCAGATTATTCCTGTGAACATTTGGAAGCAGATTCTCAACAGCGATGTGTTCTAGGTTTGAGTTCAAGGAACATTCCATTTGCTAGTACCAGTTTCAGTGGCTATCAAGAAACTCGAAGAAGATGCACCAAGCCTTTCAAATATTCCAGACATATTCAGACAACTGAATGAAAATCTAATTGAGCTTTTGCCTTCTTCACCTCTATCCAAAAAAGCAGTAGTAGTAAAACAAATGTTTACTAAGAGATCTGAGTTTTGCTCTCATCCAGTTCATCTGGCAGCAAACTTTTCGGACCCTCAACACAGAGGACAACATTGATCAGAAGATGGAATTATCTACTGCTCTCAGTACAATTATGGAAGTAGCTAAGAATGTCCCCAGCAGCTACGAAATAGCTGTGATGACTGACATTGCCAAATACTGCACAAAAGAAAAACTTTGGAACAAAGACATCATTTGGCAGGCAACAGAGAATATATCTCCTCTCACATGGTAGAAGAGGGTGTTGTCCAGGATTGTTCCTAGGATCCCAAGCATTCCACCAACAGCAGCTTCTTGTGAACGGAACTGGAAGCCTTTCAGTTCAATCAAGATAAAAGAGAGGAATAGACTAACGAATGCACTGCTAAGCTTGTTTCTGTTTCTCAAAAACTCTTGCTTCTGGAGAAGCAGTCAGAAGCACAATTAATGAAGAAGATGCAGTGTAATGATAAGTTGCCCTTGCCCATAGACTAATTGGTAAAACCATCCTTTAGAGAAAGAGAATGTGGTTCAAGCAGTTCTGAATCAGATGTACCTCAGTCTGATTCTGAGATGGAACTAATAAGTAGTGCAAGTGAGTCTATAGATAGTGACAGTGAAAATGGAGGTGCGGCAATGACCTCAGTAGAAGAGAGTTAAACTCTGTTGAAGTAGACGAGTGGACAACCACGGCATATCATGCACAGTTCTTTGGGTGTGCTAAAATTAGCATGTCACCAGTTTTCAGTGCATTCATTTTTTTTTCTTAAATTTCAACAAATGATGCAAGGGAAGTACATGCTATTATGTATTGTCTTTACATTTCTACAAGTATTCCAATAAAAATAATTTGTTTGAATATAACATTTAAACCGCACTAAGTGTGCTGTATTTTATTTTTTTCCTAATCAAATATTTTAGTTCAAATACTTGTGGCTATTGGGGCATAAAATTAACATGGGGGTACTTTTTTAGTTTTGTTTACTAAATGTAAGTTAAATAAACATACTAAATCAAATCATGCTCTATTTAGGGCATTGGAAAATTTTCCAATTCAAAATTTTCCAGAAAACCCACATCTCTGGCTGAGATCAGTATGGATAGAACATTTTCCTATACAACCTTTCAGCCGAGTTTCCAGAAGTAACTTGTGCTTGTCCAGTAAATCATTAACATACTAGGGACATACTAAAATATATTACATTTCTAAATACAAAAAGCATGTATACCCTTTAAACTTATTTCTCTTTTTAACTATGGTATCTTATCTGCTTGTAGGAGACAGACTGTAAAATGTATTAAAAGTGACTGCTACTGTAAACAAGGCCATGAAACATAGCACAGACTTACTAACACAGTTATGGCTTGAGAGTTTAATCAAGCTATCAAGTTATAATTCTCTCTCTATTTCCTAGACGATCAAGAGAACCAAGCATCTTGTTCAGTAAAGCAAATCCAACAGATTAACAAACAAGAAAGCAGCAGTACATTTTTAACAACATAGAGCAGTGAGCACACGTTAAAAAACATTTGCTAACATGATAACATTTTTTATCATGAAGTGAAGGAAAGAAAGTAGGGTGGCTATGCATATTGCTCTTCAAAACATTCATGGACCAAATACAAGGGATAGAAGGAAATCAGAACTTAACAATGTTGGTTGGATGAGACAAAATGCAATGGATATTTTTTGTAAGAATACTGTGCGTTAAACATTTTATTCTTGTGATAATAAAGAAGTCCCTTTCCAACAAACATCTTGACTTATAAGTTCTGGTTTTAACTACTATGGGTCCAGGTGCAATGCACATCTTCATGAAAAGGTTACTTTCTTGCTTGTACTACTTACAGAAAGAACCTTCTTCAGCACTCAGAAAAAGAGATGCTCAAGGTTACTCACCAACAGCAGTCACAGGTGGCTGAGAAGGGTAATGCTGAGCACTTGTTGTTGCTGGAAACGGAACGCCAGAGGGATAAGGGTAGCTTGGGTAGCCACTTTGAAAGAGAACGTTATGCAAGCATTAGGATTAAGGCATCTATGCATGTTCTTTTTTCATTACATCATCTGGTATTAAACTTCTAGTTACAAAATTACCACACTAATCAAAACACAAAAGCTACTTTCAAAATATGATTAAGACGCAGCACTTAACCAAATAAAGGTAATAAATTAGTTCAAACTGCAGCTCAGAAGAGATTTTATTTATTTATTTATTTTTACAAATCATTAAATTATGCAAGAAAAATTGTGAAAAACATCTTTAACAGAAAATAAAGATTACACCAGTTTACATGAATGCTTCACAAGTTATCAGCTGATTAAACATCTTGTTTGTTTCAAATTTTCTTCAATTAAATTTACTTCTCTTACTATCCTAAAGACCCACTCCTCAAACTTCAAATTGTCAAAAATGTAATACTAACATTTATTAATTCAGACTGATAAAAACATTAATTGTGTATAAACTGGCCATACTAACATTTTATTGCACTTTTGGTGTATGGAATGCTAGTCTCAAAAGGTTTTACTTCTATAATGCAATTAACTATTGAATTTTTACAATACCATCATTATTACTGTAGTAAGCGAAGTATCACCATATTAGTACTACATTTTTTTGGAGAAAGTGACTAATTATCCAGCTATTAACAAATTCATTCAAGCATCAAGACAACAGCTAGATAGAGCACTTCACCACTTAGATTCCATTCTAAGGATAAAAACTAATCACAAGAAGGGTAAAACCTATAAGAGCAGCAAAGATAACTTTTTCTGAAGTAATGCTAAACTGATCAGCGTGTCTTTGTACTAAGTTTATTCATTATCATTAGGGGTGCACCAATAAAGATTTTCTTGGACGATACCAAGAGCTGATTATTAACTAGCCATAATTGGCCAATACTGATCTGATAGCCATTTTACAGGAATGCAGCCAGGCAGCTTGGAGCAGTGTCCTGCAAGTAAGTCTGTGGGAGAGAAGGGTATGGGGGGCAGATCGAGGCCCCAATGGTAATGGAGGCCCAGCCAGGGTGATGAATGTGACCCCAGGGCTGGGAGTGGGACGGAGCTGTGGGTGGCTCATAAGAGGGGTGCAGGGGGTAGGGAGGGGGCACGGGGGTGTGCATTTTCCACTGCATATGCCTCCCTGGATTTGTGTGGGGCAAGGGTGGGCTGTGCCAGCCTCTTCCCAATATGGGTCTGGGCCAGGGTGGGCAGGGATGGGGGAGGTTTGCATGAGGCAAGCAGCGGCAGCGCCAGGTGGGGTGGCTACAGGAGGACTATGGGGAGTTTTGGGGTGGCTACAACTCCCCCCTCCTCCCCCCAAGTTCCTCTTAGTGCCGCCCCTGCTTGGGGCACTCTGCTCTGCTGTCTTTCCCTCAAAAACCCTGCACCAGCCACTCAAGGGACCCCCGCCCCCAGCCACTCAAGGGAAAGGCAGCAGAGCACAGTGGCTTGAGCAGGGGCAGTGCTAAGGAGAGTTGGGGGGCTATAGCCACCGCAAAATCCCCTGTAGCCCCTCCATAGCCACCCCTCTCAGTGCTGCTGCTGCACACAGCTGAGCCCACCCTGCTCCTCCTGCCCCAGCCCAGCCCCTCCCCTGACAGAAGAGGCCAGGCACCCCTGGCCCCAAGGCCACAGCAGGCAGCCTGCCCTCGCCCCGCACACAAATCCAGAGGGGCATCCCCTGGGGGTGCGCACAGCAGTGGGACAGTGCCCACGCTCACCGTGCCCCCTTCCCAGCCCCCCATTCTCTCTGGACGAGCCACTTGCAGCGCCAACCTGCTCCTGGCCTCGGGAGCACATTCACTGCCCTGGCTGAGCAGTGCCTGCCCCTACCCCATTCCCTCCCTCACTGTGGGGGCCTCAATCTGCCAGTAAGTGTCACTAAATGAGAAGCTGGTATTACCAAGCGAGTGAGAGCTCATAATGCCATAATGACCTAGATCATGAAATGATTTTTCCAAAACATTTTACCACACATCAAAGTGCTCTTAAAATGTATTAATCTAAGTCATTAAAATCACTACCTTAAAAAAATAACAACAAATCTCTCTGGCATCAAATTTACTGGCAGATAATATAAGTTTGCATGCTAATATGGAAAACGTGCCATACGGAGGATTCTGTTCAACATAATACAAATTAAGATAGACCCGATATTAAACAGATTTAGCTAAAATTGGAAGTAGACTAGTCACCACACTTACAGAGGACTGAATTAATTTGCAAGCTAATTTTCTTCCAACTTTTAAGAAACATTAAAGCTATTGCAGGCATTTCTTATAAGAAATAGAGACTTGTATACTATCCACTTGTGGGTCAGTGAGAAGAAGAGTAGTGGTGCTGGTTCATGTCCATTTAGAAAAATATTAACAGAATATTCTCTCACTTGAGTAGTTAATTGACTGGGCAATACTGTATTTGCTCCAATATAAGATGACCCTGAATATAAAACAAATCCCCAATAATTAGATTCTATCTCTGGAAAAATGTATAAATGTATTAATAAATTTGTCTTGTATTGGAGTTATAATTTTCCAGATACAGAATCTAATTGTTAGAGGTTTCCCTTGAATTTGTCCCCTTCCCTGTGACAGAAGGGAAAATAAAACTGAGGAGGGTGGGGAGTCAGGAAGCCTCCTTGTCCTCTGCTCTCCCCAATTTCTTCCCCCTACAGCCACTTCCCCCTTACCCTTATAGTCAGACCCTGTTCTCCCCAAGCATGTGGAAGTGAAAGGCAAATTTGAAAGCACTGACTTTGAAATACACATACCTGTAGCAATTTGCATATAGGCAAATTACTACAGGTACACACAGACTTAGTTCATACAGAATTGATGCATTTTACTTTTGCAAACTGTTGCAATTTCTAGCGCATCTACTACATGAGCATACTTTAAAGTAGCACTTCTGTGAAACATGCATGATATTAGTCCAAAACCAAGAGGTTCATGATTTATCATATAGTTCAGGGGTTTTCAACATTTTTTGGTCAGGGTACCCCCGATGGCCAGTCGAGAGGCAAGGAGTCCCTCAGCGGCCAATCAGCAAATGGTGGGGGCTGTGGGGGGAGGTCCCTCTGGCACAGTGTGCCACAACCAACCCAGAAGTGCTGATGCAAAACCAAAGGTGCCAGCAGCAAAGCTAAGTGCCAGCAGCTTCTCCATGCCATTGCCACGTAGCCTCTGGGGCTTTCCAAAGTACCCCCAGGGGTACACATACCCCCAGTTGAAAACCCCTGTTATAGTTCATTGGGCTAGGCCCCACCAGAGTCAATAACATTTCAAGCTACGGTTACCCCACAGGCTAGCACTATTCAGTATGTGCGCATATTCCAGATACCCCACAAATGGTTCCATGTGCTAATTTGCACCCCCACTTATGACTGCAACCAGATATTTTTTTTTTTTTAAATGGGAATTTTTTCATGTCCCAAGTCAAATCACCCAAATCAGTTCCAAATCTGTATGAATCACTCAACAACCACATGTAGCCCTAATACTGGCAAGCATCCTCTACTCCCACCTGGGGCTTCAGATACTTCCAAATCCTTTGGTGGGCATCCTACATGCAGGCCCAAGCCCGGAGGCTTGGCTTTGGATGCCTCCAAGTTTCTCAGCCATATGGCCATAGGAGCAAGCTAGGAAGGAGTCTCCCATTTCCATAAAGTTGGTGTAGCCGAGATCCTCCCACTAGGAAGTTGAAGTGGGAGGCTAACTATGAGGCTCTCATACGGAGTCCTGTCCGCAAGCAGACAAGGTTGCAACCCTCCACCACACAGTGCCATTTTAATTGCATTACTTCGGTCAGGGTACTGCCCCCTGCCACGTTCACGGTTTCCCCTGCCAGTAGGAAAACCACCTTAGTGGTCATGGTATTTCCCCTGCCATGTAAGTACCAGATGTTCTTGTCACAAGTCCTGGGATCTTCTAAAAATTTATAAACAGATAAGCCATGGAAACCCCTGGCCTGGTTCTGCCTTATGGAGGGCAGGGCGACACTAATTACATGCGACAGGCCAAGAGAGGAGGTGACAGAGACTCTCACCTACATAGACATTTGGTGATGCTTGCCAGACATTTAATACTTGTGAAGAAACCTTCACCAAGAATCACTGCAAATGGGAAAGCCGCTGATGAGCTGTGGGAGTGATGAGGAAGTTGAAATACATTCAAGGTATGGTTCATCAAGAGTTGAAAAAAGAGTTGGCACGTAGGGAGACTGAGCACAACAGGCACTATATCTTATTCAGATGGGCTGCACTATTTTTTGTGGTAGGTTCTCATCAGTATGTATGCCTAATATGGGCAATGTGTGTTTACAGGTCTGTTCACTGCTAGCTGCATTTAATCAGCTTCATGGTTGGCTTCCATTAGTGAGGACATGCTGCTTCTGGCACCAATTTAATGATAAACAATGCATTTAATGAGCTTTTCTTCTATGCAAATGAAAGACAAGGGGCCTTTTCCCCTCAATGTTGACTGGGAGAGGAGCGGGGGGGAACCTTGTCTTCTATTTGATTAAATACAGTACCTTGAAGAGACAGGGAAGCATATCTTCTAACATCATAAATATACCATCCCCATAAAAATTAATCTTTTAAATTCAGCAAGATAAGCATTAAACCAACTAAGAACACTATTTTTAGGCATGCTCAAAGCCAAGCAGTTGCATCTTTATTTTAATTAGTACTAAGGGACTTAAGCCTACTCAAACTTTCCCTCAGCTGGTGACTAGGATTGAATCCTCAATTCTAAAGAAATAATTTTCTACCAGCATTATTTCAAAAAAGAAAAAAATCCCAGTCCCACTTCCCAATATACATGGGACACAGGATTCCATTCAGTGATGCTTCCTGTTCTGTCAATAATAAAGTGATAAAACAAATTACCTTGGATTAGGAGGGTGTCCTGGTGGATAGGGAGAGATTCCACTTGGCATGCCTGGCATGTAGGAAGCTAAATAAAACAAGAATTTTACATGTTAATTATATCTTAATAATCCACTACGTGTATATACTTATGCTATGATCAGAATGCTACAAAATACTGTAAAAACAATCAACTGACAGAATAGAAATTTTCATTTTTAAGATCAACTGAGCATTTATAGATCAGATTTGTCAATTAATATTTTAAAGCTGAAGTAGGTAAATGTTATGCAATTTCAACAGTAATAAAATGCAAAGGTTGTTCAGACTGCCTACTGAACGTAACCTGCTACTACAGGCAACAGAGATGAGTAAATCTTAAGCAGCAGGGGCTAGTTGTAGTAAGAAGGTTGTGCCAGAGGCAGGCTGGATTAATTTAAATGGAAGTTTTTTAGTACTGGATGTTAATCACAATTTAAAACAATAAACAGGAAATACTAATGTATACAATGAATGTGAAACTTGTTCAGGAACAATATTATCTTAAGGGACAACTGATTTTCATTATCTGGCTGCTTAATTATTTTCTATCCAATTATTTGAATACACAGTAGTAATATGCCCTAGCAAAGGTTTGTCATAATTTTAAATAGGTTTAATACATTAAATAACATTAAAAAAAATCAAAATAGATCATTTTTTTATTGTTTTTAAACCATTCATTTTTTGTCTACCCAGCCAATACCACTGTGTCAATTTCCTTTAGCCACGACTCAAAACAATCTTGGCAGAGTGAAGAGGGAGTTTTTACAACTTCTGCCAGTTAAAGAAAGGCTGAAGAATTCTTTTTCTTTACATCATTTGTTCTTATTTCATCCAAACAAAGGAAATCTGTGCATGTTAATTTGTCTCTCTTTAAATAGACTCAGGGCAATTCCAAATCATGATGTACATGCAATTTAATTATACCTTCATATCACATGCAAAAAAATAATAAATCACTAATGCTTTCCTACAGCCACACTTACAAGCAATAAGAGGAGTTAATAAAGACTTAATATCTTCAAGTCTAATATATTCTGCAGATAAGTACACTCTTGTAAGTATATGAATGCAATATGACACTAGAAAGTTTGCTACACTTTTTTTTTTTTAAACATCAGTTTTAGGAAAAGATATTATAATAAATAAATCAATTATGAAAATTTTCCATTTGTAACAAATTAGATAGGATCCATAACCAGAAAGAAATGACAAATGACAGGTTAAAGAACATATAATTGTTATTTTATAGAAGTGCACTGATATATTAGTTGCATATCAGATTGGCACCGATAAATGAAAAGTAATATTATCAGCCATCAGTTTTTTTTGGCTGGTGTAGCCAATAATGTCACTGATAAATGCCATGTGCATATGCACAGCTGCAGCATGCACACAGTCAGGAATGCAACTCAGCAGCTTGGAGAGCAGTGTCCAGCCAGTAAGTCGGGGGAGAGGAGAAAGAAGGGACATGACAAGGCAGACTGAGGCCCCCACAGTCAGGAAGAAAGTGGGGCACGGGCAGGTGCTGCCCAGCCAGGCGAGTAAATGAAACCCTGGGAACAGGGTGGAGTCACAGGTGGCTCATCCCGGGGGGAGGGGGGGAAGTGGGGGAGGGGAAGGGAGACTGCCGATGTGGATGGTTAATAATGGGCCATCGGTATTGGTCAAAAAATCTTTATTGGTGCACCCCTATTATTTTATCTATTCTATCTTCAACCTGTCCATTTTAACAGGTTGAAAATAGAATAGACAGCACTGCTAGGAGGGGCCTATGGGGGAGGGGGGCCCCACGGGCTACAGTCCCTCAAAATTCGCCATAACCCCCAACTCCCAGCAGTACTGCTGCCCTGCCCAGGCAGCTACATAGTTAGCAATTTTCTTCCTAACAAACATTACATTATTGCAAGTGCACCTATTTTTTGCTATGAAAGATGCTCTTCTCCTCTCTCACTTTAGCTCAGCTCAAGAATGAGGACGCTATACTTCCATTTTTATTTCCTTTGGTCTGTTATAGTCTGGAATTCTGGCTACATTAATACTGGAGCATGGATAAACATACTTCTATCCTACCCTCACTAGCTTGAAAACACCCACATAATTGAAGATGTAGATAAATATTTACCAATTACTAGGGGTGCACCAATATGGGTTTTTGAGGCCGCTACCGATAGTCAATATTTAAGGATACAGATCTGATATCCAATACACTGCCTGCAACAGGCAAGTCTGGGGTGGTAGGAGGAGGAGTGGGGAGGATGGGGCGCAGATCAAGGCCCCGCCATGAGGGAGGGAGGCAGGGGCTTGGGCAAGCACTACCCAGTCTGGGAGGGCAGGCTGGGGACAAAGGGGTACCTTGTCTGGGGGGCACGCGATGAAGCAGGACTCATCCAGGGGGTGTGGGGGACGGGGAGATGGCTTCCGCCACTGCTGCTGTCACTCATCCAGGAGGGCACAGGGGTGGGGGGTGGTGTGCCCCTGGATCTGCACTGGGTGGAGCGGGCTGGGGTTGTTCCCCATGGAGCCTGGGCAGGGCAGCAGTACTGCTGGGAGTGGGGAGTTATGGGGAATTTCGAGGGACTGCAGCCCCTCCGTAGGCCCCTCCTAGCAGTGCCATCCCACACCCCACCTGGCCCAGGGTCCATTGGGAACTGCCCTGGCCCCAGTCCACCCCATGCAAATCCAGGGCCTGTTCCCGGCGAAGCCTGGGCTAGGCGGGATGGGGGGTGGCGCCACTGGGAGGCAGCTACAGGGGTGCTGCAGCCACCCCAAAATTCACCATAACCCCCTGCTCCCAGTGGTGCCACCCCTTGCCCTGCTGGGAACAGCCCCAGCCCGCCCCGCCCAGCACAGTTTGGGGGCGCACATTTCCCCACCCCCTGTGCCCTTCCAGACGAGTGACAGCAGCAGCAGCGGGAGCCAGATGAGCCGTGCGCAGCGGTCTGCTTCCACTTCCACCTCCCCCTACCCCTGTGTCTGCACCCCCCAGACGAGCCCTGCTCTATCCTGTGCCCCCAGACGAGCTGAGGCTTTGTTACCCGCCCACCCCAACTGGGCAGCATTTGCCCCTACCGCAGCTCCAGCCCCTGCCTCCCTCCCTCACAGCATGACCTTGATCTGCCCCCCACCTCCGATTTATCAGCTGGAGGCAGCTTTCCATGCTGCATGCTGTGTCTTCACTGCTTACGTGGTATGCTGTGGCTGTGTGCAGCACAGGGATTTATCGGCCCAATTATCGGCCACTTAAGGCTGATATCTGATATAGATCATTTTCTTTATATCGGTATCAATCCGATATCAGACCAACGTACTGGTGCACCTCTACCAATTACAGTTGGAATTTCTCCCTACCCATCCAAGGAACAAATACTATATTTTCTCACATATCAGCCCTAGAATATGATACTGCCTTTTTGAAAGGCAGAATGAAGAAAAGAGTTATAGCTACATAGAGCAGGGACAGAGCCTAATTTTCAGCAGACTCACCCTCTCTTTCCTGCTTAACTAAAGCTGAAACCCTACCTGCTACTGAAGACTTGTCTCCATGGGCAGATCTATGATTTTGAAAACAGCTAAAGAGTTTGTGCTAAAAAGACAGATGCAGCACCCGGACCACTTGCTCTGGCTAGTCCAGGACTGCACTGCACACCACACCTGCTCTGGCAGGATCATGATACGAGTGGCATGTGGCATTCACTCCAACCAGTCCATGGCAGTGCAGGTCCCAGACTGGCCAAAGTGAGTACCGCAGGCACTGGATCAGGTACACTGGGGGAGGATTCTGGATTGGTCCCATGTAGGGCTAGCACCAGGGAGCTAGATGATGTTTTCTGCAGGCCACAACCAGCCTACAGGTAAAATCTTTGACACCTCTGAAGTAAAGCAAATCAAACAGTGCAGTTACACAACTGAACAAGTGGGCTTTTCTTAGCTACATGAACATCCTGGTTCTTTCTGTCACAACCCAAAGTTGTGGTTTTTTTGTTTGTGCGCGCTTCGGCATTGCTAAATCATGTTCCCGCCAAATTGCAGCTCTTTTGCACAGTGGAGTGTTCTGCTGCAACAGAGAACCCGCGTGCAGGAGCTTTTCCCGCCAGTTCTGTAGCTTTCTTTGCATAGTGCATTTCTTTTGCATTATAGTAAAGAGAAAGCACGTGGAGTTCGGGAAAGGAGCGTGAGGATCTCTAAGCGCTGCTGATCCATACGAACCCAGCTTTTTCCTTAAGAGGGCAACAGAGGTTTAATTTGTCGAACCCACGGAGCTTCAACAACTCCGCGGGACCTATTTACCGTCCCCTCGGAGCCTTAACGACTCCGAGGCAACTAACCTATAGCCTCTCCCCGTCGCCGATCACAGCCCAGACGTATCCCTATCCTAAGGACCCAATTGTCGAGCCCACGGAGTTTAACAGCTCCGGGGGACCTGGGAACTGAGTAACATTCACGGAGATACAGCTGCTCTGTGGGAACGAATTCTTGAACCCCGCGGAGCCTGAATCACTCCGGGGTCAAGGAACCGAGTTTATTAGAGTCCTCCACCGAGAACTCAAGCGGAGCTGAGCCTGGAAAGCTGACCAGCCTACACCGCGACCACCTTGGGTGTAAGTAAATAATCTTTTCAATCAACCATTACGCCTCTGTGACTGATTCTAGCTAGAGCGTGCCATACCGCACCGCGGTTTTCTCCAGGCCCGTGTACCCGGGCTACCGGCCACAGCCTGTGTACACACAGAAGACGGGCCTGGCTCACCCCCAGCTCGCACATGGCGACCCAAATGGGATTGGGAGAGAGCTCGCATATGGCGACCCAGGCGAGATCGGGAGTCGGCCCGCATACTTTCATGGCTGAGTTGTTATATCACAGCCAGTGTTAGAAACAGAGCAAATACATGAACAATTCTGTTTACAATGAGGTAACAGAAATATAGATTTATTTTCAGATTTACCAGGTGAACAAGATTCAGAAATGTCATTAGACTGAAAAATTTCAAAAGCATGATCCTGTTTACTTGTCACAATATTAGAGATCTTACGCTTTAATAAGGA